GGCTGTGTAAAGTCTTTAATCTTTTAATTAAGCCTTAAACTGAAGATAAGCTGTAAAAGGCATTAGAGTAGAAAGACGAACATTAATTATTTTTTCAGGTCTTAAATTAAATTCCAATAGATAATATTAGTAAAGTAATGTAAATATTAGCTGTAATTTATTCCCCATGTTATCTGCCACCTTTTCTGTTTCCAGAGAAAAAAATATATCAGGTCTATTCAGGTGCATATCAGTCTCGTAAGAGTGACGGTTTCATGAACTTTGAAGGTCTGTCAAGCCAGCTTTTGTTGGGGCAGCGAGTGATTTTAGGTATATTGTATCAGAATATCATAGGTAGAAGCAATTACAGTTGTCAAAGCTGCAGACCTGGCTTTTAAGCGCTTAAGTCACAGTTCAGAAAATGGTTCAGTTCAGCACACACAGTCCCATCCACCAACATCTCCCTTCAGAGAGCTCGCGTAACAGTGATTGCATTTTTTTCTTTAGTCCATGAGTTATATGAGCACTAATGCGTGGAAAAAAGCCAAAACTCAATGATCACATAGTATGTGTGTTGTCAGCCACTCTGATGCTCGCGTTTTGTTTTTATTTCTCAGGAAAAAAAAGAGACTTACTGTATATTCTCTATTGCAGTCCAGTTTTTCTGTACTAGCAGCCCATATTCAGCACTTCAGTGGTGGATAGACCCTTATAACTCGCCAAAAAACTGAACAGCTCCAGGCAGCGTATTTGTTCAATAGCCACAGGACCTGGCTGTTAATAAATGGAAATTAGTCATTTGCATGTGTTGTAGGAGTCCCGTTAGCTAGCAGAGGAATGTTTGAACCCTCTTTTTCAAAGAATCATAGAATATCCCGGTTTGGAAAGAACCCAAAAGGATCAAGTCCAAACTGTCTCAACACAAGACCACCCAAAATTCAAATTATGTCTGAGAGCAATGTCCAAACACTCCTTGAGCTCCATGGACTCATGGCCATGCCCACTGCCCTAAGGAGCTGTTCCATGCCCACCGCCCTTTGGTGCAAGAACCTTTTCCTGGTATGCTGAAGGTATATATATCTCTGTGTGTTTCTCTCCCCTTGGGTTCCCAGACTGGAAGTACCCCTTGGCACTGCCTTCCCTCCCACCTTGCATGAGCAGCCTGATAGACCACTGCTGGGCTGTGATGGGGCATGACCTGGGAGTTTGCTTATGGTGATCCCTAGTTGGCAATATGTTCATCAAGAGGACTGTAAAACTACTTGAGGCATGGGATGTAGCTCTTCTTGGTCTACTTAATCAAATAAATTCTGAAGATTTATAGAGAAACATTGTATGAATCTATTAGGAAGAATTTTATTGGCAGAAAAGGATCTCAGCAATGCAGAATTGGCAACATGGGAAAACTAAAGATGAGAAGGAAAAACTAACATCATATGTCTAGGGCTAGAGCAGCAATCCAGCTTTACAAACCTTTAATATCTTCCTACTGAATCATAATTTGTATGATGCTCACTCTCTCCCTCTCTCTCTCTCTTTTCTTTTTTCCTTGTAACTTTCCAGACTTGCTTTATCTGTCTGTCTATCTATTTGTCTATCTGTCTATCTGTCTGTATGTCTATCTGTCTATCTGTCTATCTATCTGTCTATCTATCTATCTATCTATCTATCTATCTACCTATCTATCTATCTGTCTTCGTCCTGCTGCAGCCATTCTCTGACGCTTATGCCCTGGAAACAGTGCAGCTGCAGCATTGCTCCCTTCAAATTGTCAGTGACGGCTGTACAGATAGCACCCATGCCACAGGATCTGCTCAGCTTGCAGATGAACATAGTCCAGACAGACAGGAAGCTGGTGAGGACTGGGTAAAGTTGTGCAGTTTAACACTAATAGATATTTGACTGTCCAGGTTTCATTTAAAATACTGGAATAAAGAATGAAAAAACATTGTTAATATTAATCAGCTGAGTTACCTTTGCTGACAGTATGAAGGTCATGGGTAGTGACCATGGATAGTGAAAGTTAGCAGAAGTGAAACATGTACACGGCAAATATCAAGCCTTAAAAAAGTGATCTGTACAAGGAAGAATATTTTAATTATGAAGGGTATACTTGGAAGCCAGCAATGTGAAGAAAGCCACAGTTTAATCACAGTGGACTGTGACTCATAATGGGGCATCCCTATTTTGTGAAGGCTTACATTTCCGTGTGTGGTTGGAGCACAGGAAGTCCAGGGCATTTCTCTGACTTATTTCCTCAGTTGCAGGTGTTTTGCCAGAAGTAACTCAGCCACAGGATCAGAGAATCATGTAGGCTGGAGGTCTGGCAGTAGCCCAGCCCAACTCTGCTGCTCCACCAAAGCAGGAGCAGCTTAGATTGGATCGCTGATGTCCTTGTTCCTTCGAGTGTCGAATATCTCCACGTCTGTTCCAGTGCTTGACCACTCTCTTAGTGGAAAAAGTCATCCTAACACCTAACTGGAATTTCCTGTGTCCCACCTTCTGTTTCTGCCTTCTGTTCTATCACCACGGACTTCCAAAAAGCTTGTCTTGTCCATCCTGTGGTGTAGAAATCAGTTATGTACATCAGTAAGATCTCCCCATAACCTTCTTTTCTCCAGACTGAACAAACCAGTTCCCTCAGCCTCTTGTTCTGCATTATGTGCTCCAGTACCCTGCCTGCCTTGGTAGCCCTGACCTGGACTTGCTGCATGCTGTTTGTCTCTCTTTCTTGTACAGAGGAGCTCAAAACTGGACACAGTCCTCCAGAGGTGTTCACATAAATACCACATGAGAAATAATCAGGTACCTCAATTTGTTGGCTACACTCATGTAATGCAGCCCAGTATGGGCAGACTGCCAACTCATATTCAGTTTGCTGTCCTCCAGGACCCTAAGCCCTTCCAAAGCTGCTTTCTCCACATTTGTGCTCCAGCTTGTGCTGTGGAGTGGAGTTACTGTGTTCCAGATGCAGGACTTTGCAATTGCCTGTGTTAAACTTCATCAGATTTCTGTCAGCCTGTTTCTGTGCTAACATTCCCTCTGTACAGCAGCCCTGTTCTCCAGTGTACAAGCTGCTCCCTCTCACTTAGCGCTACAGTGGACTTTCTGACTATTTAATACACCCTAACATCCAGGTCATTATTGAAGGTCTTAAAACAGCATAATCAGCTCTGATATGGACTCCTCAGGAATGAAACTAGCAAATGGCTGCCAGCTGGACTTTGTACTGCTGTCTGTCATCACCTTGCATGTCAGTGCATGGAAAGTGAGACTCTAATCAGAGCACTTTTGGCCCACAGTTGAACTTTCTATTAGCCTGAGCATTCTGGAGAGCTAACACTGAAGTTGTTCCAGATTTAGTGGTTTGCATTCTGTGTGAAGTCAGCAGGCATCTCTTTCCCTTCCCCAGAATTACTTACTGTTATTAATGAATGTTTAGGAAGATTAAAATCATTAGGTAATCCATGTAGTGTAGATGAGGAAGAAACACCAATCAAGTGGAAGCTCCAGCCTGTTTCCAGTAACAGATTTCCTTGAGCAAGAAGCAGGAGTGCACCATGCTATCGATTTAGAAGAGTTGCTAATTCTCCAGTCAGTTCTTAGCATCTGATTGATTTTTAAAGTGGAATTATTATTATTAGCTTTGCAATCAGCTCTTCAGACATGACTCACTGAAGAACTTTCACAAGGGGCTTTAGCTTGGGTTGAAATGGAAGCGTTCGTGAAAGACGCTTTACTAAGGGAATCCTTAACACAAGGAAAAGAATTAAACTAAGATGGGCTGTTCTCAAAAAGCAACAGGTCTTGGCTGTAATACATTTTTCTGGAAGATGGGTTGGCACTAGTCTTCCAAATAGTGGACAGGAGTCATTTTTGGAGAGAAATTCACAGACTCTTCTAAAGGCACAGAAGCTGCTTCAGCATTACTAGGGGTTGGAGGCTGGGAATGTATTAGAGGGGGGACCACAAGCTTATAATGCTCCTCTGGTCTTCTATAGACACACACTCCTGCCCACTCTCACAGGTGCCAGGAAGAGAGATCTGAACCGTCTGTCCTAGTGGCTTGCCACAGTTTCCAAGTTTTCTCAACAGTACTTGAAGAGCTGAAACATTTCTGGCTAGTACTACTGACAGCTCAGCAGCAGCACAGGCAGCAGTCATCACTGCTTATTCTGGGCTTTTTTTTTGGTTGTAGTTTGTTTGGTTTTCTGAGAACTGGTGTTCTGACTGTGGTTACAGTGAAACACTGAGTATGTTTCAATATGCAAGAAGAAGCAATGAGACAATAGCTGTCTGCTGTTTGTTCCTTCCACCCAGCTGCTCACTACATGAAGGCATATCCTAAGCACATCCTCATACATCTCACATAACAATTAGCAGGAGCCTGGTTCCCTGGCAGGCTTGTGTTGGCATAATATCAGGAAATTATTTTGCTGGGGGTTTGAGATGACGTGGTAAATAAGTTTATCTGCAGGTCAGTGCTGGACAGAGAAGTGGCAGCTCCCACACAGAGACACCAGTGAGTTCCTGATGATGGGTCAAGTGCTGGACTTCTGAGACTTATGCCACTGAGTTAACAATTGAGCTGATTATTGTGTCAAAAGAAAAAAACAGCTACCACTTTGCAGCACCTGCCTGGCCGGAAACTGGAGAGAAGAGCATCTGTGAATGAAAATCAGATGCTTATTCAAGACTTCTGCTATTCAAGACTTACGTTACTTATTCAAGAAGTATGTTCCTAAGTGCAAATGCAGGATGGAATTAAGGACTGGTGCTTTTTGGATTATTCAGCTAGAAATTTCCTTATCATTAGTCAAAAAAGAAAGGGAAGCAGGCCTCACAGATGAGTGTACCACCAAGTGTTTGTACTGGTTCATCCTACAAAGACTGTGCAACCAGACACTTAAAGAGACATTAAGTATCAGGCAGTGTTTTATTACACAAGCTATTTGTACAGAGATATACAGAGGTGCCTTTCTGTCAGAAGGGCAGCCAATTACCAGTCATCAGCAGCAAGATCATTTCCTGCCGAACTGTGGCAGTGGTGGTGGCACCTTAATATCTTGACCTTTTTCTAGTTTCTTCTCACAGTCAACTAGGTAATTGACCCCATCAATGACAATCTGGACTAGTTCCACCTAGAGAAAGAAAAAAAAAAGGTAGTATGAGCTTTAAGTAATGCTATTAATAGAGAAAGGAAAAAACTGTCTTGTTCTGCAAGAACAATTACAACTGGCCCCAAGGAGAGTCACAGCACGAGATCACATGCCCTGTGTGACACCAGAGACTTGTACATCTTCACAGACATGGATTAGGACCCTGCATTCTCTTACAGATCACCATAAACTCATGTTCTGTCACAATAACTTGTCAGCTGCCTGCATTCAGGGAAAGATTTCCCACCCACCCTGGCTGGCATGATGGCTTTGCTGAGATGGTTCATCAAGCTCAGAACCCACATTTCTGAAGGAAATACCATCATCCCAAATGCATGCTGGCTCTACACCATGTACCATTCCCTTGTTTTCAACGGAGGTGCTCTTGATATACACTGGCAGAGATGGGATTAGCTTCAGGCCCAGAGCAGCACCAAAACTGGCAATTCTGTATGGCAGAGTGTAGTGATGTCTTTGTAATCTTTTCAAATTGCAGAAGAATCCAAAGAGCCTTGCCCTCATCAGGCTTTCTCCGGGCCCTAGTGCTTTGTTACTGTCACTGTAGCCAGCAAACTATAGTACCAGTTTTTCTTAATTTTCACAAGATGGTCCATTAACAACCGTTAATGACTGGTTTGTTGAAACAGAATGCAAAGACTAAATCCCACTGTTGCTTGATTGTGACAGTCACTGATTTTCAAGGGATTTGTTTTTGCAATGAAGCATGTCAGTGGCTCAGTAGTTTATTATATTGTCTGTTATAGACCAGCTGTTTTGGGAAATCAGAGGTCTGAATTTGCAGCCTCCAGGAGAACAGGAAATTCATATTAAGTTTGCATTGACCACTAACTGAAACAAAACAAAAATACGAAGAATTTTATCTTGCACCTTTGGGAACATAATTCAATTCTGAAAGCAAATTTACCACATAATTGAATTTATTTACTAGAAACTGAAAAAAATATATCTTACAATAAAACATTTTTATCTTGTTGAGTTTCTCTTGTCTTATTTAGATTTCAAAATCTTCAAGGCAGGGATTGTATTGTATCTCCTGGCTCAGTTCTCTGAATGCTTGCTTTATGAAGCATCACTGACTTCAATGGGTGTCTTCATATATAGGAAAAATTTACAGTGCATATACAATAGAATCCCTTAATGAATTATATAGTGTAATCCTTTCATATTTTTTAGTGTTAATTTAGTATACAGCACATACAGTGATGCTTCAGATGTTAATAAATATCTCTGCTACATACTGTTTCTGCATATAATAATGCTAAATAGCTTTTTACTTTTGAATATTTCAGTTTAGATTCACAGGAGCTTAACTGCTTACATTAAACTAAACAAAAAAATTAATTTTCAATGTTCTGTCCAAACACCCCTTGTTAGTGAAGATGTTTAAGGGCATATGTAAATAAGGAAGTAAGGAAGACCTGACTTGCCTTTGTCTCTGAGGCGGAAAATGCAAGACAAGCAAGAAGGCAAACCAGCTGACAAAATGTGAGCTAATTTGATCCAAGCGCAATCCAAGTTCATTATCCCAGGACTGTATTTGTGTTACGAAAACTACCAAGCATCAGGCTGAATTCAGGTGTTGGGTTTCAACAAATTGCATCCATGTCTAAGCTGCCAAAGATTCCCCAGTGCTGTGGTATTCTGGGAAAACACACCTTCACCACACTCATCTGGGAGATGAAAGATAGTTGGCAGAAGATTTGAGGCTATCTACTGGCGGAGTGGTCAAATTGCTGGACTTACAGGGCCTTGACAGATCAGTTTTTCTATCAATCAGTTGTTCTTGATGTGGCCTAGAGTAAACATAACAGAAGCTGTAGCTGTGTCACAGGATGTACAGCCTATGACCTGGAATAACATTCTGGGAGTGCTACTGGAAGGACGCTATAACACTGACACTGCCATTTCTTGACCATCCTTCAGCAGAATTGCTCATAGGAGCTGTTCTGCTTTATAAATATGAAATTGGAATGGGGTCTGGGACCTGAGTGTTCCATGAAAGCAGCCTCCCTGCTAAGATGTAGGGTTGTTTTCACTCTCTGGCTCCACAAATACACATTCAAACTGAAATGTCTTCAAAAATGCGTGAGATGAACTCTTCTCACCATAGTCTACTGCACAGTAGAAGGAATTCAGAGCTGACAAGTCAATATCTTCCCTGATCAAAACCCAGCTCTTTTGTGTCTTCTGCTCAATTTGACACAGGACATGAGAAGATACCAGCAATTTCTCTTTTTATTATTTTGGAGTGAAAGGACTGACCTCATCCTGTTCTCACAGCATGGAGAAAGTGCAAGACTGTGAATACTAAAAGGAAAACAACACATTAATCCTGTCTTGCTTTCTGTACCCAATTTCCTTTGTGGGTTAGGACACAATCCTTAATTATCTCCTTGACATTTTACGGCAGGTCACATTTATGGTGCCTTCTCATGGCAATTTTTTTTTCTCTCATTACCATAACAAGAATATTTGGCAAACACTTGATGCACATGTATAATTTTTTGTTCTGCAAGCATCTTCATTGGATCTAGAAATGCAAACCATCACAATTCCATTGAGGTGACTCTGAGACCAGAGTGAACCCAGTTGAAAGAAAACTGACTTGTTCATTTCAGATCTGTGTAAGGAGCAAGGAGGAAAAAAAGAAAAGGTATCAGGTTACCTCTGATCGACCCATGCGGTCCAGGTTGGAGATATCATACACGTCTGCTACAGCTGCAGTATCCACCCCACCAGTGCCACGCTTTTGCAGCCTCAGATTCTCCAGGATTTTTGGAAACCTAGGATCCTAGCAGAAAAACAGATTTGTGTTTACAGCCTTTTAACCTGTGCATTGTGCAGAATCCTTGTAATGCTTTTATACATGACTTAATGTGTAGCATCTCCAGACACACAGGCAGTTTTCTCAGTCCTTATTTACAGCAGGCACATCCAACCCACAGCCTGCAGGTCGCATGTGGCCCAGCCCACCCCCTGCTGCAGCCACTGCCCCACACCACTGTGGCAGCAGCTCAGCACCACCAGGCATCTTGGCCTGACCCCAGGCATGCACCCGTCACTCACAACAGCCGCACAGCAGTGCGTGATCAGCACTGTGTGGGCTGTAACCAGAGCATGCACTGCAGTGTATAACTGTATGCACTTGGATACACTGGCTGAACACAGTTCTGTGAACTGCAAAAAATATGCAGCACTGCTTTCTGTTGTGATGAAGGAATTTGAGAATAGACTCCGAGATTGCTAAAAAAAGTCATCTCAGTTTATGTTTGTGACTCCATTTTCAGTCGATAGAAATACATGACCTGCAAATTTTAAAATGGAATATATAGAGTTGCAATCAGATATTCAACTCAACAATCTGATCATGTCTCTATTGGACTTCTATAAGCCCCTCTAATCAGAGAGAAATACCCCTTGCTTCAGAAGGGGTACCTTGTTCATGTCATTGCTTTTGGTACCTTTGTGAACAACTGCTTTCAAGGGTGAAGCACAGGAAAAATAAACTTGTCAAAAAGCTCTGATGAACACTTTGAGACCTCACTAAGAATTGCCACCACTGCCATCAAACTGGGGTAATATATTAGGTTCCAAAAACAGGGTGACGTATCCCACTAGTTTTATGGTTTTGTTGCTCAAATACTCTATAAAAAAAATTGAATGTTTTGTTACTTATATATTAACTATATTAACTATATAGAGCTGCTCTGAAAGTAACGTCTCCTATTTTATGATGTTGTTCCACAACATCAGAAGCAAATGGTGGTGGTGAGGCAGTAGGAACTGAACATTCCTACCCATATTCTGTTACATTTTGTTGCCTTGTGACAGATGGTAGCAGGGGGACAGCCTGGCAAAATCGGTGCAGAACGTGGAAGTGCATATGTAGCAAATGTGTGGAATTGTATTCCCACATGCAGGAAAAATGGCACCCACTGACATTCAGTGATGCTTGCTGAACATTTCTGGAGATCAACCAGTGGATGTGACTACAGTAACAGCAACAGTACATCACCTCCACTGGAGCAGATTTTTGTAAGAGTGACATGCAAGTTCTTGTTTATTGCTGGTGAAATTGCAGAGCTAATGGTGGAGACTGTGTTGAAAAAGAGTGCTTTGTAGCTGAGAATTTGCTCTATCAAACAGTGTTCTTGTGCTCTTTGTATCTGTTGTAGTTTCCATGAAAATAAATAGGAGGTATTGCCTTCAGAGAAATCCATATATATGCTGCCCAAAACAATTCTTCGTCGCTCAGTGCAGCCCAGGCAAGCCAAGCGGTTTGACTTACGGATTACAGCCTGTCTTGGCACTGTCTTCTAAGTACATTAATTTCCATAACAAATACAATAATTTGCAGAATAAAAGTTTGCTTAATTAGTTATACATAATCCTTGGGACCTTGTTATATATCACACTAACACGAAGTCTGTGTAAGCTGTCATTTTGCATTTGTTTCTCTGTGAATCATTTGTTCCTCAGTAAATCAGAAGAGCTGACCTATGTCACTAGCCTTTTAAATGAATCATGTACCTTGCTAAGCTTGGGCAGCTTGACATGGACTCCAGCACGTAAACCAGTTCCCAGGTTGGATGGACAGGTCAGAATGTACCCGAGGCGTTCATTCCACATGAATTCCCAGCCCCGTTCTTTAATTAATCTTTCAACCTATGAAGACAATAAGCGAGAAAGTGAAAAGAAAGTGTTACATATATATCATGTTCTAAGATATTTCCTTGTACCTGAGATTCTTCTCATCACGTGCATGTGCTGATGGTGAGCTCCACTAACACTAATGCACAAATACACGCCTGAATTCAGTCTGGTCCATGCCTTTTGCAAACACCAGATGCCAAATTCTTCACTGAATAGTACAAGAATTTCTTCATTATTTTCTCAGTCATTAACTTGTAGATTCTTGGTCACTTTATCACAAAGCTCCCTGTTTTGTATTGCCTTAGCCCATGAAGTCATATGTTCACCTCAGAATTATGGCCTTTGCAATGCATTTCTAACCTTAGGAAGATTGCAATTCACAAAAGCCTCAAAGCCTCAAACATACGGATTAAAAAACAAACAAACAAACAAAACGGAGCTACAGGTGAGTTTTCTATCAATTCTGGAGTGGCTCCTGACTCTTAGGAGAAGGTACTTGACTTACTTATGCCTAAATTTAATTATATTCCTTCGCAGTTCAGATGAAGTACGTGTGCCAGGGTCACCAATGGGGAGAAATGATTGTTCTGTGTAACACTGACAGTTTTGGAGACAATTAGTGTTTTATGTACTCTGGCAACCTATGCAGGAAGAATGGGAAGGAGGAGCAGAGTCTTATGCCGTGTCGCCTGCCCCACTGCACCTTCTTTGCACATTGTCTGTGGGGGACTAAGTATAATCCTTTTTCTCAGAAAAAGAAAGAAATTTTTCTCTGTCTGAGCAGTACATGGGGCTAACTAATGCGGCCTGCTTGTAGCCATTCCCAAGTTGTCTGGACAGTGCTGTTCTAGCCTGTGTACCAACACATGAAGGCTGTTTTTGTCTTTAGGAGTAGCTGACCGTTTTCTCTGCAGCTCAGCTATCAATTTCCCTTTGTTCCCTTCTTTAACTGCACTAGTGTGTTTTGCTTTCGGGACTGATGTTACTGTTGCCCCTGGAGATGCCAGTATGAACCATGGTAAGCATTGCTGATAACTGCCCAATTGCAACCAGGCAGGAAAAACAAAGTCTAGTTCTTACCTCTTTTAAGCCACGGCAAAATCTTTCAAACACCCGTTTCATATTTCCACCCTTCTCCATGGAGATCACTCTGGTATGGTCCTCTTCATTAATCCAGATGAGAAATGTCTTATCGTTGTTATGCCTGGTTGAGAAGTGCTACTTTAAAGCATGAGACAAATGCAGTTCTCTCTCCACCCACCTTTATTGCAGCTTTTCAGGACTTTGTGGAAGATAAGTGCAGCAAAGCAATATTGCTCTGAAAAGTGAGGGTTGAGATAAGAGGAACATGTTGTCTCCCAGCTCAAGCACAGCTGGTGGAGATCAAGAGGAAAATACCAGCCCTACATCCACTGTCTGTGAGCACGTTCTTTATTGATCTCTGTATACTGTGCAGCTAGGAAAGAAAACTGATGCTGCTGGGGGCCAGGCTCTGTGCCTTTACTTAGCTATGTTCTTTACTTCAAATCTCTGAGCTTGCTTTCCCACTTGGTTGCACTGTATGGCCACATCCATGGAGTTACATGGAGGACAGCATCTACATGTGGGCACTGCACTGGAGCTGCTGGGTCATCAGTCAAGCTACAAATCCTGAAGTTAGCTACTCCTACTTTAAACAATTCACTGTAGCTAAGCATGTAAAGAGCCAGGTTAAACCCAAGGCAATTTTTAGTAGCTTTCTTCCACTTTCTCTGTCTTATCCACAGTCTTTCTTGCAGCATGTAGTATATGTCTGGCAGGATCAGACTCCTTTGTACAAATACTGTAATATTACCAACTTTGAAACATATGAAATGTGGAAGTTTAGTTCTCTAAGCATGATTTTCAGCTTATTTGCCACTGTGAAGCCTTTTGCTGACACAGAACTGTGCAGGTACAAACATCCTGTGCCCTGACATTAAGGTTACCTGAGACCCAGATCCACTAACAAACTTTTCAATCTTACTATTTCTTTCTACTGAGTATTTCACATGTAAAACAAGCCCAATTGTATTCAACTTGGGATCACTGGATAGTCTACATTGGTAGCACTTTTTATGTTTGTAGAAACAGCAGATGGGGTGCCTCAAATTTATCACCTTGTTGGAGCAAGCCTCTTTCTCAGATATAAATGGGGACCAGGGAACCAATCTGAAGTTTATTGAAACAGAAATCCTCACAGATTTCTAACAGGTCATTAGTGTTCACGAGTGGTCGGGTTCCACAGTGCCTGCTCCCAAGCAGAAAGCAGCTTTAGTTTGTTTCAGTAATTCTGGATGTGCTGAACACGAGCCAGTGTTCCCAGTGTGGGGAAGAAATTTCTTCTCCCACATCAAGACTCAACATCTCTGAAAGTCTTGACCATTCCTAGAGCAAGGAGATAAGCTAGATTACTTCTCATAGTTCTTTCTGCCTACTTTTTCAAGATTAAAACGTTTGGTAACCCATAGACATGTAATAGGAGAGATGCAGATGCACTGCACAGCCATCTGCATTGTCTTCTAGGCAGTGTGCACTGATCTGGGGGCTTTTATTTCATTATATCCATAGAAAATATTCTGTTTGTGCACAAAACCTATCAACTGCGTTGTGAAAGAAGGAACAGACCCAGAAGAAAACGGGAAATTCAGCTTCTGCTATATACCATCTTTGCCCAGGTCATTTGGAAAGGAAGTGTTACTTTCAATTCAGGGAACTGATAAAACACCCTGTCTACTGAGACAGGAGGCAGGAATCAGTGATGCAGTGTCCTGCAGCTGTATGGCCAGTGGTTTCCAGCTGTCAGCATCACTGCTGACTGCTGTTACAGCTGCTTTCCTAAACTCAGCTATACTGGTTTCATAGTGACTGATAGGCCTTTTCCCAAATCAAATTTATAACTAGAAATAGAAATAGAAATAGAAATAGAAATAGAAATAGAAATAGAAATAGAAATAGAAATAGAAAAAATTGGAGATAAAGACCCAAAGAAGGAGCCATGCTTATGTTGTAGTGTTGTACTGATATTATTAGAGAGTACATGAAAATATTCTGTGAACATAAAGGTCTTATTTACTTCCCTTTCTTGGATATTTTAATTAAGCAAGAATTTATTATTTTTTTAAAGCAACTAAATATGCTGTGAGTATCAGGATAGCATGGCTGCAAAGCTAAGACAAGCAAGGAGAACAGTAATACAATCTTTAAAACACAGCAGATGCCACACAACATACCAGATTCCTCTGGCATCTGGCCAGTCACGAGCCATCCCAGCACATGTCAGCAGAGGGGACACTGGCTTGTCAAAGAGAAAGTGATCCTAGCCAAGGAAATGGGGCCAGAGAGAAAGGGAGAGAGAGAAAAGGAAACAAAATTCAAGTTCATTCAGGGAAGCAGTATAATTTGTATCAATACATTTTACATGAAGGCAATCAGTGTACAAGTAAATGATGTAGTATACCCTATGAATCTGGTTCCTTCTTGTGGAAGCTTAAAGCACATTACCCAGGTGAATTTTCCTGAATCTTGCAGGCTCTTGATTGGCAATGTACAAGAGTGTTTTCCCAAAACACTTCTTGTAGGGGAAGCCAATTAGCCTTTACAGACTGCAGAATATCCAGTGGCAGTTTTGAAAAGAGGTAGCACTATGCTGGGCTCAACCTCTGGCATCACAGCCTTGTGCAGCTCTTCAGCAGTGATGCTGTCTCCAGTGTTAATAAACTCAGCACTCAGTGTGCCACAGACTTGTCATATTTCAATTATTTTTTTTTAACTGAGATTTCTTTTTGTTTCAAAGCGGATAAGATTTTAATGGGTGTGCTGAAAAATAATTAGTTCTCAATTCCTCAAACACTGCCTTGTCAAATATTGTATGTGGTTGTTTTTTGGTTTTTTGTTTTTTTTCCCCTGGAGTTTAATTAAGATTAATACCAAGGCTATCCAGAATAAATTTGACATGATAGACAAGCTAATAAAATTTACTTTCTTTTCCCCCTTAGTGGAGAATTTTCGACTTTCATCTCTGAATGCTCTGTGATAGGCACATGCAGGGGAAAACGATATGGAGTTCCACAGGGACGAGACATTTATTTTCTCTACCTGCTCTATTCTACACTTCTGTTTGAGAAAAAAAGTCATCCTTTTGCAAGTGAACAGCAGAGTGCCATTACTTTCTTGTACAAGCATATGGGCCAAACCTTCAATGCCTTCTGTGCTGAGTGCACTCATTTTGTCTTAGAGAGATCAAATAGTGCCTGCTAAACAGTGACAGCAAGCTCTAAGATACACGTTGGGGTTTTGAGGTCCTAAAGTACTGAAGGGAGAAGACAATGTTATGAGTAAAAGATAGAACCTGGGGTTACAAGGTTCAATGCCCTGATTTTTATTAATTGGCACTACTGTAAAAGCTAGCAAAGTAAGGCAAAATGCTGAATCGGTGAACCTATTCCACCTCCCCAATAAGTTACCCTTGAACTGCAAAGGAATTTGATTTTCCACAGCCCTGTTTTGATCTCTGCCTTCTGAAGAGCTCTCTCCTGCTGAAAAGGGCAATGGAGTAAAGTTCACACAGGTAACCAACATCTTGCCAATAAATATATCACCAGGAACATTCAATAAAAAACATTTCTGACCTTACATAATGCATAACTCCTGGTTAATCCAGACTATAACACCTGATTGTAGTGTTATAAATAGTTATGCTACTTCATCAGCTGCCTTTGTGTTGATGTAACAAATAACTGTGTCGTAAATATAGCTAACAGGGTACAGACATTCCTTTGGATATATAAAATGCACATGCAACATTTGTGTTGTTTTGTTGTTTTGTTTTCATTTTTTAAAACAATCTTATAGATTTTTATGATTTTTAAAATCTCAACATGAATCCCTGTTATGGGTTTTCAAGGTGATTGTTATTTGTGCTAGGTTAGCACTTGGAAACTTTGGCTGCCTCAAAACATCTCTGCAGAACTGAACAATGACATAAATCCATGGTGGAAATCTTTGTGTTTCCGTCTCTGTGACAATGAAAATTGCTTTTGACCCTTCAAGTTCATAAGTGCATTTGTAGGACTGGGAAAAGGCCATAGGGTGCAGTTGGCTACAACCATTCCAGGGAAAGAATTCATGTGATTTTGACATAAAGCAGTTATAGATTAAAGCCCCAACCCCGGCAGTCTGGAATACAAATAATATATAATATTTTAATACGTAATACTTGTAGTTAGAATGGTTATTAATATAGGAAATGTCAATCTTTGAGCAAGAAAATAATCAAGGAAAAGTTCTGTTTATTTGTCCAAAGAGGTGGCAGCAGCATCCACATAAATTTCACAAAGAGCTTGATATCCAGAACATAACTCCATGTGCCTACACATAGAGTCCATGTGTATAACCAAAACACAGACCCTGGATAATTTGCCATTAAGTTAAAAATATTGCTGGGCCAATAACCACTGGATTAACACTATGATTATCATCCTTAACTACAAGGAAGGCATGTACCCTACAGGAAGGTGAAGGTAAAAATAAACAAGGGTAAGTGTAGACAGTGTCAGCTCTGGAGCTGTACTTACATCAATAAGCTGCTGCTGATCCCTCTCAGACATGTTGGTCAAGCTGTAGTACTTTCCAGCAAGGTCTCCCTTCAGCCCAGCTAGGGCAGTTACCACAACGTTTTCCACCTCTCTCCTCTCAGCCCTGGTGCAGGCAGGAGGAAGGCTCAGGCCACGAATGCTGCGGCCAGTGCGCACACGTGATGAGAGGACATAGTGCTCATCAAAATAGCCATGGGTGATCTGAAGGAAGAATATGGGATTTTATGGTTGATGCATGCTGTTTTGCTACACTTTTAGAAGAAAAATTCCAACCTACAAAATGCGGTACGTCCTTCTGCCTGAGGATCTTGACCCAGGATATGGCAGAGTAACCAACTGGTCCTTCAGTTGAAGGTCCCACCACGGATGGAATACTACAGCAGCAATACTGTAACTGTGGGAAGCAGTCCTGATCTTCTACTTCCTTATTATTTTCAGTCTTACCTTGGATGCATCCAGGTCTGTATGGTGCTTCATGGTTCGTGGATCATAGCCGTTATGTCTTGCTTTAATGACAGGGTCAAAAATCTCAGCAAACACCTATGGAAGTCAGAAAAATCAGTAGAGAATCTGCCACACCACAGAAACAGTCGAAAGCATGAGCCTCAGCCACAGGAGAAACACTTTGGCATAGACAGGGAGCTTTGCAAATGCTGACAGGGGTAAGTATGAAAAGGGCATTTTGACCTAGACAGCGCTCTGTAGCGGTTGCTGATCTTCACACAAAATGAAGGTGTAATAGCAGATTACAAGCCTGCTTTGGCTACCACAGACAGGCATGGAATGTTGTGACAACCAGACTAGATTTCAGAATGTATTGCCAACTAGAATACATAGAGTATCTTGGCAGCTTGCCTCCTGCTTTTAGGTCATTCAGGACCAATACCATGATCCTCGTTAGAGTCACATGTCAGCTGTGGCCACAACCACACCTTCATTCAGTCATGGGTCAGTAGCCACAGCAGCTTTTCAGGGTAGCCACCACATCTGTAGGGGAAAACTGAACTGCAGGAGCTGATAACCCAGAATGTCAGAAGTCCCAGTCCATCTTCCATGGCCCAGCATTTGGGATGCTGTTAAGAGACCATGTAATAATAGGTACCATTGTGTAGTAGGCTGAAGGAAGCAGATTAGAGATGTCAAGAAAAATAATAATTTTCTTTTTTTTCCTATTCTTCTTACTACTTCAGTGTTAAGTAAACCTGTCCGTCTTAATGCTGTCTATTTTCTTCTTCTGTCATGATCCAATAGCTGTAGCTTAAAGGTGTCTGGCAAATCCCAGAAGACATTTTCATTTCATTTCTGCCTTAGGTGTTCCACAATACAATTTCCACATTACCTTCATCTTGTGTATCTCAGGGTTGCATAGTTTTGCCATAAACTAAGTTTAGCAGTAGGAAGAAGGGCTGCTGCTGGAGGCAGGTAGAATATTGCTCTAAAGCAGCTGTACTTTATTAGCTTTGACTGCAGCAGAGAGGGTAGATGTAGCAATGCCTCATGTTTTTGCGTTTTCTCATGTGGAAGAGTAGGGAATGCATTGTCTTTATAAACATGGCCTGCCTCTTACGTGCTCTCTGGAGTGTTATTTATCTTAGGAGCGCATACCCTGCCAGGAAGCGGTGTTCAACTAATGACCATAAAAACAGCAACAAACACAGTAATTTTATGAAAGCATTTTACCTCATAGGATTCTTCATCACCTGCAACCATGCCGACAGTTTTAATGAAAGGATGGCCAGGATTGTCTACCCCGGTTTGGATGCACTGGTCCAGGCTGTAGCCATTGGGAGTCAGCTTGTCCCTCAGCTTAGCATAAATGGCTGGGGTGAGACACTCAGCCATGCAGTTGTTGTGCTTGCGAAGATCTGGATAGTCTGCACTGAAGAGAAAAAACATCCCAAGCAGTTAACACTGTAACTTTGAACGGTGATCTTTGCTAGTTCACAGAATTATTAAAGGGATCATGACATATGAAGTATGCTGCAAGACTTGACAGTAACATTAGTTCTTTGTTTATATGTTGCACCAAATTTTAGGAGAGGAGGAACATTCAGGTCACTCCAAATGCCCCCAAACTTTGCACAGATGAATAATCCCGCATACAATTGCAGCTTTCTGCTACCTGCAGCAACCATAAAATAATCTTGATGAGCTTTAAAAATGTACCAAACCCCACCAATTCTCTGCTGAGACACTCCTCGTCAGAAATAAATGAGTTGTAATGTTGTTTTGTTAGGCAGGAAGGGAATTAAGTTGAAAAAGGATTTGTAATTCTAAGACAAGGTACTCTCACAGCTGTGTGGATATCAGTGGGACTGTCTGGTCTCTGTCAGTGGGAAAGCTAACTTATCTGCAATACCTGCTGTTTCTGTACTTGTATTACTACTGTTTATGTAAAGCTGAACCATATTCCAAGCCAGGAAAAATCATAGAATAATAGAATCTTTGAATGGTTTGGGTTGGAAGGGACCTTAAAGTCCATCAGTCCCAATCCCTGCTGTGGGCTGGTTATCCACCGTCAGCTGAGGCTGCCCAGGGCCCCATCCAACCTGACCTTGAATGCCTCCAGGGATGGGGCACTCACACCCTTTCTGGGCAGCTGTGCCAGGGTCACTCTCACTGTGGATGATTTCCTTCTAACATCTAACCCAAATCTCTTTCAGTTTAAAGTCATTATCCTTCGTCCTGTTACTCCCTGACACAGATTCCCTGTCCAGCTTCGGACCCCTTTGGGGACTGGTAGGTCACAATGAGGTCTCTCCTCCAATATACTGCACAACCTTAACTTTCTCAGGCTCTCTTCACAGGAGAGGTGCTGCAGCCCTCTGACTCCTCATAGCTCTCCTCTAGACTCATTCCAACAGATCCATGTTCTTCTTAGATAGTGGGCCCCAGAGCTGAACACAGTACTCCAGGTGGGATCTCACAAGGGTAGAGTAGAAGGACAGAGTCACTGTTCACACCTCTTTTGATGCAGCCCAGGATATGGTTTTCTTTGTGGGTTGCAAGCACACAGTATTGGCTTGTATTGAGCTTTTCATCCTCCAGCAACCACAGGTTCTTCTCTGGGTTGCCCTCAATCCATTCTTCACCAAAAACATTCATGTTTGGGATTGCTCCAACACAGGTGCAGCTTGGTCATGTTCAACTGCACAAAGTTTGTACAGGCCCACCTCTCAAGCTTGTCAATGTCTCTCCGGAAGGTATCTCTTCCTTCCAGCATTTTGACTGTATCACTCAGCTTGGTGTTCTCCACAGAATGGACATATTATGCTTATTAAGGCATTTTTGCAATCAAATCATACCCCACCTACCTTGTAACATTTTGTCTGATGCATAACCCTATTATTTCCATTGGAATTTATTTTAACTAATGTACACTACTTGAGAAAAAGAGATTGGCAGAGCCTGATCACTATTGTTTTTCACAAATATTGCCAGCAAAATCAACCTGTACATTAAGGTCTGTAGTTAGTTTCTAATCATCAGCCAACCACTTTGCAGCAAAATTAGGAATATTTCAAGTGCTGTAATTACACAGGAAAATTTTTTGCTACTTGAATGATGAAAGTATGTTCACAGTTCCTAAAGGTAGAGTCTGTACTGTCAGCCAGTCCCAACAGTTCTACATAGCTGATGAGATAAAATAGGACTAATTTAGTGTTTTGCCAGAAATTTGAAGTATTCTGTAGGCTTGTCACTGTTTGGCAGTGTTTTTTGGAGTGTTGATACTATCACACACCCCTGCTTTCTTGTCTTGAGAGTCACTGTTGGTGTAAAACTGAGGTGACCAGCAAAGGGTGTTGTTTGTCAGGTTGTCAGTCCTCAGGCACACAGACGGGGTGACTGCATGAGGACTCTGCTGCTCTGATGAGGATCTTCCTCCTCCGTGGAGCCCAATGGGATGCCTAGCCTATAGCGCCCACCTGGGAGGGAAGAGCTTCCGCTTCTCATGCACAGCAGCTTTCACATTTTGCTGGTTGAGGAGGTACCCAGTGGTGAGTACCCCTGTGCCTGCTGCTGCAAAAAGTGCAGCAGTTGCACGGCCAGCCAGGAGACGACCAAAGGTGCCAGCCATCCTTCTTGGAGGACACGATCTCTGCAAGAGAAAGCAGCCCAGCATCAACTCAAAAACCCTCTCACAGTGTGCATGACAAATAAACCATCAATTTTAACAGTGTCCCTGTAAAAGAAGCAATCTACTTTTATGGTAGGTTTGCACTGAAGTAGTGTGTTCAGACAAAATGGTTCGTGTTTACTGCATTTCTCCAGCTACATAGCATTGTCAAATCCTAGAGTTATCTAGGCTGGAAAGGTACCTTTAGTAGAATTGGAAATTGGTTGGCTTTTAGTTCTGTATTGAGCACACAATTCTAAACCAGTGTATTTATTTATTTATTTATTTTCACGACTTAGGGCTATAATTAAATCCTTTAGTTTGCTCCATAGCAACAGCATGTTATCTGGAGACATATTTTCAGTGACCAGTAAGTCAGTACGGCAAGATGCAGTAAAGTATGGTCACATGTGATGGGATGTGACACTCATGAATTTCTTTACAGTGCTATCACCAACAGAACCCCCATGCTTTTTCTGCATTACCTTGGCCTGTTAAAAATTGTGCTTTTTCTGCTATAGGACTAAAGTTGGAGTAGGCTATAAATCACTGCAGGAAGGAGTGCTCAATATGCTTGAATCCTGAAAACCCTGACTGGCATGGGAATGGGAATAAAGGTCAACTCTTCGCTATCTTTTTCAGTAAAAGAGCATGTTCCATCAAATAGGAGCAAAAACCAAAATGAAGGTAGGCAGCTCTATACAACTGTCATGGACTTAAGGAACTCCTTGTGAAAGGACAATGTGGGTAAGTGGTGTGCGTGTCTTCAGCGATACTGGATGAGCACGTGGAAGAGAAATGAGCTGTGTGCGTGTAGCAGACAAAATGAAACAGGCTAACAAAATTCCTGGATCTGGCAGCAGCTGGAAGCCATGGGGACAATGTGGACAGAGCATTGCATACTTTGTTCCACTTTCCTCAATGAGCTACTGGGCTACCTACATTTTCTCCTGCTCTGAAACACTATAATCATTTTTAACACTTAAAAAGCTACAGAAAATATACAGAAGTACCTATTAAGCATCTATAACAGAAGCTTTCTGAACAGCAAATATAGCGTCAGAAGGCCATGTATAATGACTTCTTTAAGACACAAAGAACAGAAGCACACTACAGATAGCAGTTTCTGACTCCCAGCCGCTCAAAAACTTGTGACTTCTCTTCTTTCAGGACAAAGAGTGATACTCTTTTACCTTCACACCACGTGTCCTGCACAAAGATCTAGAATAAGAACAAATGTAATGGTTACTTGAATCCGCAGTGATCCAGAGGCAGACAGCAGCACCAGTAAAATAATCCAGGCTTTAAAAACCTGTTAGGAATCCATGTGCCCAATTATTTATAATTTATTATTCCCAGAAATGTGTTCACAGCTCAGCCATGAGTTTGATTAAACCCAAGCACTATCTCAGTCTAGCAGAGAAACTAGCATGTTCTGGAAGTCTGAAGAAAATGCTGGTCTTTTCCTTCCCAGAATCAGAATGCAACCAGTTTTGCAAGTGACTTGGCTCCTGAGAAGGTGTATGCTGTGTTTAAATCAATAACACAAATTCCAATTTGTGTTGCTGAAGGAAACATTTTCTTAAAAAGGGGCTCTGACAAGTCCCGTTTGGGAAATGGACATGGAAGAGTCCCTGTTGTTTTGTCATGGCTTTATCAATGTATTGATATTTGTTTGTATAATCTCTTCATAATTTTTCCACATGAAGTTAAAAATCTCACTTGGTTTTTTTTTTAGTGAGCGTGGATTTCCAGCAGGCCACTCCCTTTGGACTGTGTGGTGGAGCCCCTCTGAGCTCTGCGAGTGCCTCTACTCTATCAATGCCTTCATTTTGGTGACAGCTGCAGGATGGGCTCTTGCAGCTGTACCAAAAACAAAGTGGGAGATGGTAGGATTGCAAATCAAAATGAAGTATTGGGTCTGTGGTGGATAGTGCTTGTGTCTTATTGCACTGTAGCTTCTGCAACCCATGCTCTGGAAATATTTGCTTGTGACTAATTTGAGGAGAACTATTAGTGCTATACCTCAGTGTCTCAGAAACGATGCATTTTCTTAACAATGGTATGTGTTTGTAGTTCTGTTTCACAGATGCTGTCCCTACTGCATGGAATTGGCCTACAGTCAAAATGTTGCCCTGAAAACCCAAAGCTGTGCACATGTCCCTTTGCAGACAGTGACACCATCCCTCCAGCAGCCCCAGGCACACATCAGCTGTGAATCTTTTTGGTACATTCTGAATACTGCATTACTTCAAGGGGCCAATCTGATCCACACACCTCATTAAACTATAGGAGTCACATGTATTTAGAAGGCCACAAGAAGGAGTGTATTTAGAAGGCCACAAGAGCATGTGTCTATGCATTGTCTTTTGGACTGTGTTGTCTTCCATCAAGTGTACTTGCTTCCTAGGACACTTTTTCCTTGGTGGATCATGGAAAACTCTCCCCCTCCCCAAGGCAGGCTCTGATTTACCTTATAGATGCTTCTCTAAGAGCTCCTAAAGCCTCCAACACTGGAGATGCCACAGCCGGTGTAGGAGAACGACCTAAAAAAAAAAAAAAAAAGATCAGAGTGAGGCAGGATTTTTTTATTTTGAACAATGTCAATCTGCACACCTGTTGGTACAACTTAAGTGTCACCTCATTACATTTCCTTCTCCAGACATAAAAGCATAGTGAGCAGTTTGTTTTCTGTCTGAAAGGGCCGTGGCCATTCAGCTTTCGGAGTCTGCAGTGTGGCAGTGATGTTGCAGGGACCACTGCTGGTGGCTGATGAATGTGAAGGGACTGGCAGAGCAAGAGAGATGGAATTTTGTGTGGGAGAGAAGAACAGTATCTTCTGGGGTGCTCTGAAAAGAGGTCTACAGTCTTTTCTATCAAAACTCCTAATTCAGTTAATAGGATTTGCCATAAGCAAGGGCTGTTGTTCTGAATATAAATGCATATAATGCTGCAGCACCAACCAAACCCAGGCTGTGTGTTACAAGGGCATATGTAATAGCAGTAGCAGTATTAGCAATAATAGCAGTATGACTGGCTCAAGAATGTGGTGGGTAATTTCAGAGGTCAACTCAAAGAGCTTTTAAACAATGAGGGTACACAGTGAGAAAGACTCCTCACGATAAAAAACAAGGGCATTTTGTCTTGTTTGCATTTTTCTTTCTCCTTTAGAAATAGCATGATTTCTGAATAATTCAGTTGTTTATCTCCTGGTAGAAACTGAGCACTGTCCCAAGCTGCTGTGATGCAGGACAGAGGCACCAGCATCAGGAGAATGTCCACCAGACAGGAGGAAAAAACAGAGGGGCTCGTCAGCCTGATGCACAAATAAACACAGCACTTGTTTCTTGCCTGCCTGTGCATTTACTGTCACTGTCCTTTGCTACAAAATTTATCATCTTCTCTTAGAGATTTCTCCTAATTATTTGTTTTATGGGTAGCTACACACTGACTAGCTTCCTTTCTATGTCTCTCATCACTTCTTTATGATATTTTCACATTAATCACTTGAGGGATTGGTGCTTTCTGGTGTGGATCGGGCTCAGAGGAGCACAGGAACAGTTTCTGATATGGATGCTGGCACAGGATGAGGCCCAGCATGGTGGTGAGCATCTGCAGCAGCAGACACCAGATTAGCTGAAGTCACTGCACATCTATCATTTTTTACCACTAATTTTGCTACCACTATAAGCAGGAATGCTATCCAGGAACCAGAAGAGCTTGAATAATAATAAGGTAGAATAATAATCATAAAATTGGTTTTAATTAGTTTCTAGTAATCATTTACAGATTTCTACTTCAGTTTATATCTGCACCAGCACTGCAGAAACTTTGGGTTCTTTCCATGCACCATAAGCTACATCTGAACTTGGATTTTTTATTTTAGGACAAAATGAGGTGCATCTGAACAAGCTCTGGATTTTTCTTCTTCAGTTTCCAGACAAAGTCTAATTTTTATGGCATTATACACAACAATTGTTGAGGTACAATACTAATATTATTTTGTGTTTTCAAGGTGAATTTGTAACATGAGACTTCAGGTACATGTCACTCGGTTTTCAGACAGTAACAACACTGGCTTTGCTTCATAGAGTCATAGAATCATAGAATCATCAAGGTTGGAAAAGACCACTATGATCACCCAGTCCAACTATCAACACATCCCTACCATGCCCACTAACTCAGGGGGTCGGACTCGATGATCTCTGGAGGTCCGTTCCAACACCTACAATTCTGTGATTCTGTGATTCTGTGATTCCAACCACGTCCCTCAGTGCCATATGTACAAGTCTCTTGAACACCTCCATGGACAATGACCCCACAGCCTCCCTGGCCATCCTGTTCCAATGCATCACTGCTCTTCCTACGTTTTCCTAGTATCCAACCATGACAACAAGTGGAGATGTTTTTTGTATCCCTCTAGGATTACTTATGCCTTTGGCCCAAAGGCAGAGTACATGGACTCTGTCATGGGCAACCACAGATCCTCTGAAGCTTTGTTGCCAAGGTCACTGGGACTTGCTTGGAGAATGCAAAAACACTGTTCTACAGAAGAGAAGAATCACAGAGCAATTAACTCAAATGTTCTTTCTCCATATTTTTCATGTAGCACATTAATCCCTATGGTGAACAGTTTTAGTCAATTCTTACAAGCCTTTTTGAAAGCATAAGTGGTGATTGTGAAGGGAATTAATGCAATGTTGGCACAGCATAACAGGCATGAACCATGCAGCACATATCACAACGTGTCTCCAAACCCAAGTTTTCTTCACAGCTGAGCAGAATTGGTCCCATTTCCTGCACAGCAGCACCACAGAGGGTAAATGAAATTGCACACAGAGTCAGAACAGAAGAGTGTGAGATGTAGCAGAAGTCACTGCTGCAGTGCTGGAGCTGGAGGGGAAACAGCTTGAAGGACTGCAAGTGTCATTTCAGGAAGTGGGACCATTGGTGATCAAAGA